AACCCAAATGAAAAATAACATCCATTCTCAGTTTTCTACAATGTTGTGTAAACAAATGTCATTTATCAGACTTATATGAATTTCTTGTGAATGTTGATGCTCAAATCTTCTGCCCCCTTTTCAGTGAGGCTTTATGGTTTCTTATGATTTCAGCTTGTAAGTGTGAAAACAAAAACCATTAGTCCAAAAAGTGAATTATCTCCATTGTGTTGCCTTTTTAATCTGCACCCCAAAGTGATATCAGTTGAAGACACGTGATCTCCTGTACACTCTCTTTGTGAACTCTGTACTCCCTGTCCTTCGTGGGGTATTTCCATGTCAACTGAGGTAATTCCAGAGCTGAGGGCAGTTTCAGCACTGTGCTTTGGTCAGCTCTCCTGGGTGGAGCTGGGGCTGTTGCTTGCAGGGTGACTCATGAAGTCCTGGCAAATTTATCACCACTTTTGTTATTTTGCACATTTAATGCTCACATGAAGTAAGCCAAAAATATCAGCATTGCTCTGAAGTAGATGTAATTCTTCTTTTGCCATGATAATAGATTTATTAGGCTCAGGATCTCCCTTTGTTTTATGGACATTCCCTAATTTTAAACCTTCAAACAAAAAGCACAATCGAGCATCAATGAAGCCAGAGGGATAAGCTTAGACAGCTGACCTGCTTGTTTTTCAAATTAACCTTTGTTAGTAACATAATAGGTATCTGCGAGAGCTAATTTGAATAAAATTACTGTAATTGCTATTTCTATCCTTTAGGTATGCTGGGTATATAAAACTGCTGTTGAACACACTGTCCATCAAGCAAATGCATTTTACCAGTAATGGAATGTATTGTGAACTAAAAATGGGATTTCTGAGGAAGAGTAGCTTTCTCTGTAGCATATAGATTTTCTTCAGTCAAGCTGTACAAGATGAATAGTTGGTATTAGGCATTGAACGTAAAGCTTTTAATGCCTAATTATTTTTTTGCCTGAGCCTCAAGCCCAAGACCATCTACAAAAGTTCTGTGTATTTGTGCATCTAATTTTTCTTTCTGCTTAGCTATCACAACTGATGAATTTGATAATTTGCATGCCAGTATCCAGTTAATTTGCTCTTTTAGATGCCAAATGAACTTCTGAAATTCTGAAAAGTCATAATCATTATGTGATTAACAACAAACTTGTGTCTGTACCATTTCAAACTAAAGATCTGTCTGTCCAAGTGTCCTATTCCAATGAAAGCAACAATAGATTATATCAAAGGGCAAACCTAAATATTTACTCTATTACTGTCAGAGACTTGTCACCCATGGAATTACTCACACAGAGGCTTTATAGTATTCAGTCCTGAGCAGATATGGTTTTTTCCATTTGTTTTTGGAATGTCTGTGGATTTTTAATATCTAGAGCTGGACTACAGATTAAGCCACCCCTTAACCACAGCTGGTTACCTTAGTTATTATTCACAAGGAAGATACATTTCTCATCACCCTCTTTGCCTTTTTTTCTGCATTGCATATTTCTGCTACATTTTTTTTTTGGCAGGTAAAAGCTTCCAAAGAGTGACAGGAAAGTCGTAGCAAAGTAGGAGTAGAAGGACATTTTGGGCCCCTTGAACTCATTCGTTCAGCACTGCGAGTCCCCACACTATGTGCTGTGCTGCCTGCCTTTAATAATCCCAAAATCAAGTGGGAACACCCATTCACATGGATTAGGTGCTTCCCATATTCCACATCTGAAATCAGTGTTGCTATTTTTCATTTTGCAGTTGCTGAGAGTGTAAGAGAGTGAGGAGGGGAAACAATTTTAGCCCACGCAGGAAGTCCCAGGGCAGCCAGATATCTACCCTGCCTGTTAATTGCATCTGCAGAGCTGTCCGTGATCCAGGGGATGGTGCCCATGGAGGGGCAGTTTTGTCCCACTGGATACACCCTTTCCTATTTCTAATTGTGGGAAGTGCTTTCCTCACACCCTGGTTGTTGCTGTAATTACATCAACCTCTCAGACAAGGATATTTGGTATTCAGAATGGATCCAACAGCATCACGATGTTAAGATGCTTCAGCTTCTTACAAGAAGAGAAATGTAGAATCACAGAACATTTTGAGTTGGAAGGGACCCACTAGGGTCCTCAAAGTCCAATACTCCAGAATAAGTAATTCACACTCATTTTTTCTTCCACGTATTTTCTTCTCTGCCTTCTGTGCATGTTCCTCTGAAATCTTCCCCTTGTCTCAGGAGCAAATCTTCCTTTGTCAGGTTTTGTAATTTCATTTCTCTACAATGCTTTGAGATTTTCTTCCAACGTTTCTTAATGTTACTAAACCCACAGATCAAACTGTCTCCCACTGGGAGTCCTTGGCCTCACGGTTTTTGAATGTTCTTGGGTGAGATGAGCTCTCTGCCATTCCATATCCCTGGTGACTGATTTGAGAGATTTACAGGTGACAACTTTAGACTTGGCTTCTAACCTTTAGCAAAGCCAGCTTTGGTGAGTTGGATCCCAGAAAGAATTCTCTAAAAAGTATTTCTGTACCTTTCTATGTCCACATTTGTTCCTTCTCTCTAGTTGTAATGAAGTCCACTTGTATAAAATATTTTTGACCTACCCTGTAAAAAGCTGATGTAGAAGTGAAATGGGATGCTACTCTTTATCCTGGAACATAATTGAATATTTAATTAAATTCTTGTTTTATGTGATGCTATGATATTGGACAACAAAAAATAACATGTATGACCCAGTGTAATTAAAAAAACCTAAATCTGAATGAAGAACTCATTGAGCTGAATTTTTGTTATCTTCCTTGGAGATAATTTGATTTAAAGAGATCAAACTGGCAAATGGGATTCTTCCAGTTTTCTCACTCTTTTGTCACAACTTCTCAGTAAATACTTTTTTCCCAAAAGTGAGAGCACTTTTTTCTTTTCTTACTGATTTTTTGGGAGTCCACTGTTTTCATGGACCTCATTTTGGTTGTTTCTGTTTGATTCTGCTGCAAATCTGGGGGACTTTTTCCCCCAGTTTTTTTTCTGTTCTCTTTTTAAAGCCAGTAAAGAAAATCCTAGGCTTAAAATACTGATCCTGCTAATGGAAAGAAGCAGCAATTAGGGAAGCAGGGTAGATGGCAATTCACATTTTCATGTTTATGCAAACTCATCTTTCTTACAAGCATTATAATAATAATTAATGAAAGTTGTTTCCATGTGGGAATGCTGCCACTCAAAGGTGCTGTTAGCCCTGAGAGATATGTTGACAACCTAATTAATCTGTTCCCTCCACAAGAACTCCCCTGCTTTATCTCTTAAGTGTTTGAAGAGGTGTTTTTATTTAATCTGTTAGGCTTACCTGTCTTGAAACCTCACCTCCCCTTGATGTTGAACTTCTGTGCTTCCTTTCTGACTAAATTATTGTGGGCTTCTGCATTTTTAAGATATCTCCCTGGGAAGGGAAGGGCACAACTGGTAGCTACCACTGAAGGATGGGAGAGAGAAATTTATTTCTAGGTAATAAAGACACAGTTAGTGCCAGGAATCTCTATCCTTACAGGGCAGGAGGTGCAGGGCAGAGGGCTTGGAAAGCACTATCTCTCCTCACAGTGAGTTCCTCAAGGCTTGGCAAGGCAGCTCCTGCTGATGCAGGGCAAGCCTGCTCCTCAGGCTGCCAAAAGCTAAGACAGGGGTCAGAATATGAGTGGAAAACCTCAAATGAGGGACATACATGAATTATTCATGCGGGAAGCTGAAAACCCTGCCCTGTTCCTTCCTTTCATACAGTGCTCAGTCCTGTAACCTCTATTTTGGGGTGTATTTGTGATGTAAGTTTTGTTCTGCATTAAAGGCAAGGAAAGTCATCAAACTGCGTGGTAGTTTTGTCAGTGGGCTGGGGCTTATTTCGGGAGTCTGCACCACAGTGTCCAACATTTAAAGGCAAAAATTAACAGAATAACAACCACTGCCATCATAACTTTTCTGCTTTTCTCTCTTTGCTGTATGAGACAACTTCTGAAATTCAGGCTTTATGTGGCCACATCCAACACCGCATGTGGCAGCAGCCTGAGCTCACTGCTGAGGGTGAACTGTAATTTATTAGACATACCAGGAGCTAGTAAACTAACTTCCCCCGCTGTTTCACAAGGTTTTGGTGCACCATACCCTGTCAAGTACTACAGGAAAGTTGCAACCTAGAGGTGCGGAAACACAAAACCGGGCTTTAACCCATGGAAACTCTGGTTTGTTAAAAGTTAAATACTTTACATTTTGATTTTCTGATCTAAGACATGCGCTAAATGATTAAAAGCCATTCACTCTTGCTCTGACAGAAGTGAATTTTGGATGCTACAAATTATGTCCCTGTGAGTGCTCTTCCTTGCTGCTACTCCTTCCTGTAATTACGCTGACTTTGTTTGCCAGATGTTCAGTGACAACATTATACTGTTCTAGTCTGTTTTCCAGTTGCTTTACTTGTTCCTAGGACAACTCCTTCCTTGCCTTTTTTATTTCAGGGAGGAAATAGACAAAAGGGGAATTAAAAAAAAAAAAAACAACCTTTACAAATGTTTTAAAGTGCAAAGGCTGGGACAATGGGTTTTGCCCCTCTCTCTGTCTAACTGAAACAATGAAAGCCCTGCACTTTAATCTTCTTAGCCCCAGGGGGTCTTCTAATTATTGCAGCTGTTGCACAGGCTTATGCATAGTGACCTCCTCCTTCCCATTCATCTTGGAGGCTCTTTCATGTCCATCAGCTCCTCCTCCATGGAAATGGAAGAGCCTCCAGCTCTTAAGAATAGGTGAAGTTTACCTTTAGGATCAGGCTGAGGAGAACAAAGCATTCTCCGAGTTCCTTTCCAGGATTTACAATTGACCGAAGGCTCTTAGCTCACTGCAAAATCCACTATAAATTGGTGGGGATATTAACTCTTTAGTCCTGACTTATTCAGGTGTCACAGGGATATCCCAAGTACATATCAGCTAGGAATGGCAGTGGTTACTTCCAATATAGAAGAAATGAGAGGTGAGATGGCTGGTTATGGAGAATGTACTCATATATTTAAGCAGCAGGAAGCTTTTTTTAAAAGTGCGCCTTCAGAGAAATATGTTGCCATCCCCTGCTAAGGTAGTGAAAGTTTTTGTGGTTGTACTGAGAATCAGGGCTCTTGTGCCCAGCTGAAGTCGTGTAGTATCAGTTAAGCAACCTTGGGAAAAGAAAAAAAAAGAGGCAATTAATCTAAATTAATACAAAATACCTTTTAATTAACATTAAAACTGAATAGAAAAATTGCTTCACATACTTGGATATTTCTGGTTTGACTCTGAGTTACAGAGTTGGTACCAAACATTATCTATTACAGAAACACCAGTGTTTCCCAAAAAAAGGAAAGTTTTAAAAAGTCTGTGCATATTCAACAATAATATGGAGTAAAGGCAGATGCTCAGCTTGTGAATATTATTATGGGTTGTAGTTGTGATTCAGGGTAAATGTTTTATCTGCTTCCATTGTGAGCTCTGCAATTGTTGCCCATTTTTTACTTTTAGACTCAGAACACCAAACAGGTCACCTGAACTTTTGTTTTTATTTATTATTGTACTACTGATACAGCAATGCTCACTTATACCAGCAGGTATTTTCCTCAAAGTGTCAGCCCATGTTACTAAATTCTAAATATATTAAAATAAATATTTTAGTGCAGACAGTATCTTTAAAAAAAATAACCTCCAAAGAATATTTTTTTGTTATTTTAAGATTTTAGATGCCAAATGTGATTATTTGCTCTTGCCTGACTTGTTCTGCAACAAGGCTATCTGGAGCAATGTGGCCCCCATCCACCCTGACACGCTTCTTTGGCTCCCAGCAGCAGATGAAGATGCCCTTTGGAAGCTGTCCCTGTTCTCTGCTAGTTGCTGAAATTGGCTAAGAAACTCCTTGGAACAGTGTCATGGGGCCTGGGCCAAATAATGCAGCGAACTAATCTAGCAATTTAACACCCTTAATGACCAAATCTCTCACCTGGGATACTTAATTTAGTGATGCAAACACAGCCATAATTTTTCAGGGTGTATTCTTTGCTTGTCACTGCTGCCAAACAACTTGTGGGTCCATTCAAAGGTGAAATTACATCACTGCTTAGAAGAAACTCTTTGTGGTAGGTTTTGTCAGTGGCTCTGAAAAGGCAATTTAGAGGGATGCTCGTGGTCTGCAAATTTCCAGTTAGTGGCTGCAGTTGGTGTGTGACTCCACATCAAATGATGTAATATGGGGATTCCCACCATTTCCTCTTTCATTTCCTGTTTCTCTGCAAGTAGCTTTGATGAAATTTATGTCTGATGGCCAAGGTTTAACCTATCTGTGAGTAGTTCTCAGATAAAATTTTCTATTTTAATTCCTTATTCCATCACAACAAGATTAAAAATGTATATTTTCCATTTATTGGCCATATGTAGATCTTTGATAAGGGGTAAAATTTTACTGAATTTGTCTGCAAGAGAAAAGTATTTCTAAATGTGTTGCAACCTCTTGCATCGTTTCACTAAGTGACCCATATTTGTTTTTACTTGTAAATTAGCAGATATTTTCCATCTTTCAACAATGCTTTAATAACAAATACTTTAAAAATCATTATTGCTAAAATGTCACCATTTTTGCAAACTGTATTACAGTATATTATTGCCTCATCATGAAGTACTCCAGTGAAATCATCAGAGAAAAGGAACATTTTATGGTTTAGGCTTTTTCTTTTTTCTTTGCTTGTTTTGTTATCATTCTGTGGGTGTTTTATGGTGTTGCAATGCTTCTGAAGTATTTAGAGTGCAATAAGTGAGGTTGGATGTTATTTTTAAGAGACAATCAGGGGACACTCCTTTGATAGTAAACCGTAAAAGACAGTGGTAATAGGGGGAAGTGGTTTTGCAAGGTAGAATTGCTGTTTCCTGCCACTTCGGTGCCCTTTTTGGTTTGTTTCAGCTGTTGTCAAATTCAGTGGGAATTATGTGTATGTAGAAAGCAGAATGTGGCTTCTAGACAGATCCCGTCTTAACCAAAACCATCTTAACTGTAGGCCTCATCTCGAAACATCCAGCTGAAGTTGTCAAGTCTCTTTCCAGAACTAGAAAAACCCCAAATAAAAACACACTTTGTTTTGTCTGTATCATTCATATCATGTGCAGGAAAAGGTGGTTATGAAAAATTGACTAAAAGCCATATATTTATAAATTTAATATTTGTAGTAAGCTTTGATGCATTAGGAACAGATTATAGAACTAGATCAGGCTAACCAATGTGCTTCAAAAGCACAATTTTTTGGGGTATTTTATCATTATTGGTATCAACCACTAGAGGGGGAACCTCATTTATATCAAATACATCTTTTAGCCTTTTACTATTTTTATTCTATCCATCTGTTTCAGCATTCTAACAACGTCTAGGCAGAGTTACAGCACAATGATGACTACAGGAACAACAGAAAACATGTCACTAACAAAAAATTTTGGGTTTTTTTCAGGTGTTGTATTTCACTACCGTGCAGCGACCAGCAGGTACACCTTGAATTTCACACAGGCTCACCAGACCTGTCGGGACAACGGTGCTGTGATGGCAAGCCCAGAGCAACTGAAAGCAGCCTATGAGGATGGGTTTGAGCAGTGTGATGCTGGCTGGGTGTCTGACCAGACTGTGAGGTGAGGCATTTAAACATTCCGCTGACACACTTTCCCAAAATTTATATGCTTTGACTGTGCAGGCTTAAACTGCTGACTTGCCCTAATAAATCTAACTGTGCTGCATTCCAGGTATCCAATTAGACATCCAAGAGTTGGCTGCTTTGGAGATAAGATGGGAAAGAAAGGAGTCAGAACATATGGGCGCCGCTTCCCCAACGAGACTTACGATGTGTATTGCTACGTGGAGCACATGGAAGGTAGGATGGGTCTGCAAAACTCATGGGATCTGGGCTGCAGATCCTCATGTGGAAGGGCAAAGAAATAGGAAATCCCATTTAAAATAAGTTTTGGCTGCCTTGGATCTGCAGGCAATCGCTGAATGGAGCAAACCTACAGTTTGTGGTCTGGTAGGTCTTAATTAAAGGCAAATGTGGACCCTGCAAAGAGACAGTCAGGGTTAAAGCTGCTATAGTTAGTGCAGCAGATCTCACAAAAATTGCTGTTGAAGCATCTTGTGGTTTTTTGAATGTTATAGAAGTATTTTCATAGAAACACATTTAATGTTTGAGAAACTATGTATAAATATATATATATATAAAGGTAGACATAGTACATGTGCTGGCTGTATTATAGTTCATAGAGTATGTAAACAAGTTTTTTATGTGTTTATGACATAAAATTAAGCAGGTATCGAGTTGCCATCTAATTTGAATAATATCTTTTTTGAGGGGGGGCATTTTAGCATCAAAAAGGAACAAGAAAAAAAAACTTTCTAGTGAGAAGTCTGGACCTCCTTTAGTAAAACTCTCTGCCACTTCACAGTAGAACTATAGTCTTTCGAAAATCTGCTATTTAAGGGGCTCATGAGGGTGATCATGATTCTACCACATGGTGACTGTGAGCTACGGATCATGTTGTGGACTCTGTGGTATCTTGTGATCCATTGTTGGGATCTATGATCAGTCCTTATTCAAGAAAGTGTTTGATGGTAAAGAGAAAAATATGGTAAATTTTTCTGTAATAAAGCAGTTTAGCCCATGTGAACAAATCTCCATACTACAGGTGTGATGATGTAATAATTTCTTATAATCTCCCTTCTGGAAGTGAATTTAACTATATCCTTTCAGTGGGCCCATAGATACACTCCGGGCATCAAATATGCTTATGCTTAGACATTACTATGACTAGTTAAATACATAGAATTAAAATGTAAATGCAGAAATAATCTTTCCTGTCCTGTAGCCTGTGTTTTTTTGGCTTTGTGCTGGCTATACACATGGGAACCCCCATTCTGGTACAGAAATACTTTGCAACAACGACCAAAGTACATTTTCAATTTACCACAATGATCTGAGAGTGTCACACTTCTTCTGCCTTTGCAAGTTTATATTCCATACAAGTTTCACTGTTCCTTTCTAAAGAAACCCTGATAGTTCCTAATTAAATATCTTTTGGGAAGATCCTTGACAGTTATACATTTCATTTGGTGCTCTTGCAGGCAGCAGAACAATAAATCACTCATGGCTTCTGTACATATATTTGCAGCAAGCAATTGCAAAATGAAGGTGCTCAGTGTCTGTAATCTGTCTTAGAGAAGGAATAGCTTAGATCATGCAAATTTTTCTCCTGCTGATGATTTGTAGATGCCTTAGTCACTGAAATCAAAAAATGTTTTTCTTTTAGCAGCTGAAGATCTGGCCAAAGTTATGTTCAGCTTGGAGAGTTATAAAGTACAAGTAATGCAAGTCTTGCAAAGCCTCCAAAAATATATAAACTTGAGAAATCTGAAAATTAAGTGACAGAATTTTGTTAGTTCTCTTCATTGCCTTAATTTTAGTTATGTCCCATTTATATATGTTAGTGAGCAGCACTCCTGGACATCTACAGTTCATAACATTTGATCCTCCATCAGTCCTTGATGGGATTGAATTCTGAATCACTTCTGATCCAAGAGTGTTAAATTCAGTTTGGGTCTTTCCTACTTTACAAAAAGACCTTTTGACTAATCTGTTTCAATCCTGGATGAAGAGCAGTTCTTTGATCCTTCTTTAAGAACAGAGGAGTGTAACTTAATACAGAGAAGCCCATCCTGGATGCTTGTGAGCCAGCAATTTCTCAGGGTCAAATATTCCCACTAAGCTTTCAAAAATAAAAATTAAAATAAGCCAAAAAACTGAAGCATTTTTCACTGAAGCTTGTGGTCTCTGCATGGAACAATCTGGAACCAGGCTGGGAGGCTCAAAGTAATTGCAATGACTGTGCGGTCTTTGTGGGTGAAGATGCATATGCATAGATTTTCAGTTTCTCATGGGTATTGGTTGGTTCTTACTCATTATAAAATTTCATTTACCAAGACTTCTGAGCTGGATTTCCTCTCTGGATACACTTAAATTTCTGTCCTATTGTTGTGGGTGATGGTTTGCTTAAGCATATGCCTGTTGTTGTGGCCTATCAAATGTACTGTGGTAAAGTGATCTGCTTGGATATGAAACATTCAGCATTTAAGAAATGTAATCCAGGACAGAATATAGGGAATATCTGGTCTAGGAACCCAGGTAGCAATAAGGACATTCATTTATTGATCAATTTTAATGCTAGATTATTATAATATTTAGCCAAAAATACTCCCCCCTTTTTTCTCCACTGGTTTGTTTGTTTTCCTTTTTTCATGTGTGTGATTACATTTTTTTCCCTATTTTCTCAGAAGTTTTCAAGTGATCTGGAGTGTGGAAAGAACTTCTGCGATTTCCAGAAGGAGCGATTGTTTACAGATATAGGGTACAGGAGTGGTGTAGGCATGTTATAGTGGGATGCAGAGAGGTTAAATTACTCTGTGTGGATGAAGATAAACAGGTGCTTGTTAGGAAGACACGTCATGAAATAGTGAAGGATAAATTATTCCTCAGTGCCTTCACAGAAATGTGAGCCTCTGAGCCAGACTCTCTTTTAAGTTGGGACTAAGGAGCCAAGGTGGCTTTTTCTGTACAACAGAAGCAGTTTCTGTGAGAAAAAAGGTAATTTCGAATGAAGAGCTTGATAGCAGTCACGTAACATTAATGAGTTTATAATTCACTGCCACTCACCCACGGAAGACACACATTTAGACAAAATGTCAATGAAGTTCCTACAAGGTCAAGGTTGCACTCAACTAGATTGCAGTGCTGGTGGAAAACTTGCAGTTCAAAATTTAAGCATATGTCAAATTCCTGGTTGCCCTGTCCATCCAAGGCTGATTCTGCAAGGTACGACCTTTCTTTTGTAATGAGCACTCCCAACACTTAACTCATAACAAAGGACATCCATGGCACTGAGGATACTGTAGAACAAGGCTTAAACAAGGCTTTAAACAAGGCTTTTCCATGCAAATTTGAAATCTTATATTTGCATAGCCTGTTCTTATTCAATACCAAAACTATTAGACTTACTTGCATTAAATAGGTCCTTATTTGGAGAGTCTGTATCATTGGAATGACTATTCGTGGAATAAGATGGTGCTTGATTAATGATATCTAAAATCTGGTCCATAGTGAGGATGGAAGCCATTGAATAATTATTGGTCTGTTGGCTGCTATTTGTGTGTTACTCAGAAGGCCATAAATGGTGGTAGGAATTCTTGCAATACATTTCAAAGTAAATGTGCCTTGAATTTACAGTACTAATTTTGGTATTTGCACTGAGGATTTGTAGGAGCAACTCCATTTCAGTTTTATTCCTTTCTAGCCATATAAAATCATGAAGTTAGCCAGAGAAATGGATTTCTCCTTGAAGCACAAATGATTAGCTTAAATTAAAACCAGTTATCTAGGCTAACTCTTACCATTTCCTTGTTCTGAGGAAAGCCAGAGAGATTAAAAGCTATAAAATCCTAATTTAAATATTGAGCTTTGCTAAAACTCTCAGAAGAATAATTATGGGAAGGATTTAAAATTTCTGTGCTCCTAGTGATAAAAATGGGAATCTGGAGTCAAAATATTAAAAGGGTGCTGGGCATGGTCTCTTATTGCAAACTGATCTACATCCTTCATATTTTATCATATATTTCAGTGTACCAAGCATTAACAGAAACATTTAGGATACTTTTAACTGCAGGAGATGACTTGCTATTAAAGAGTTCAATGTAAAGTGATTGAGCTGCAGAGGTTTCAGTTTAACTCTTGAGGTTCTCTGAACACCTCCAGCTGAAGCAGTGTCAGCACCAATATCCATGGAATAATCCCTTGGACAGAGGTGGGTGTTGGGGAAGGAAGAGTTTCCATCCTGCCCTCAGATAAAGGGGGTGTGTGATTCATTTGACAGCGCTGTGGTGTCAGGGACAGAGACAAAATGCCAAGTGAGGGCCTTGGGGTGTCTGGTGCTGAGCCAAGGCACAAACTAGCCTGTCAGGATTGTCTCCTGGCCAAAGCCACGAGAACCCATATCTGCCTAACAAACCTATAACGTATGCAGATGGGGACTCACGCTAAGAAAGCTATTTTGGGGTGTCTGTGGGGAAGATTATACAGCTTCCCTTCCATTGCACCATTTACCGCCTACAGTGAGCACACGGAATAAAAACAAGAAACAAAACCAGATGTCCTTTGAATACTTTCCACCTACCCTCATGTGATTTTGCCACAGTCATGGAAATTTCTGTGGGACTGATAATAACAATAATTAAAGAAGTCATAGTCTAAAATACGGCTTCAGGTGAGATGTTGTTTCTGTGTTTGGGGCAGCTAAAGATCCTCTCTGGAATCCATTCTGATTCTGCTGCAGCAATTGGATTAGATTTTAAAAGTGGGTCACAGGGAAGAGAACCTTTTTTTTTCTTTCTAGTTCAGGGCCTGTGGTAGAGTCACAGCCTTTGCATTAGCTTATCCAGGAGACTTATCCAGCCTAGGATTGTGTGACATCATGCAGGGTTCATGGATCCAAGGGTTCTCAAGAGGATTCCTGTTCAGCCTACAGGTTTGCACAGAATAGACTCAAGGCATTCAGGAGAGTTTAATTAAATCATTGCTGATATGTATCAAAAGGAATTGACTCACTTGGAGGAAAAAAAAGGCTTCTTCACCTTGTCTAGCCTTCTGCTTTAAGGCTGAACCAAACTTCTTAGAGGTTTGTGATTTTCCATTCCTAAAAGGTGTTTCCTATTAATTAGTGACTTTTTTAAGGACACCTCTTTATTACTCTGGTGTGTCAGAGAACACAGACAGCAGAGAAAGAGAGGAGGAGGAAATGGAATTTCTTGGGACACGTGGTCCTGAAGGTGCAAGGGTGAATGCTTTAGTCCCCAAAGTGCCCATGGTACTTCTGCTTCTTTGCACACTTGATAGTGTCCTAGGAATGAAGTTTTGAGCAGATTCCATGTTTCTGAGTAAAAGAAAATCATGATGGCACTGCCTCATCACTGCTTGAGCTTTGACCTGCCAACCATGTGGCTGTGGCGAAACATTTATGAGGAGAAGAAACAGCAGGTTATAGCCGCAGGTGGGAAAATGTCCTTGGAATGCTCTATATAACGCCAGAAAAGATGATATTTTGTCAGTTTGAGACATCTTTCATAACTGACCCAGGGCATCCTGGTCTGCTACTGCAGACACGGAACCCTGGAGCTCTAATACCCCCAAAAGGGCATCTTTGCTTTATGAAACTTGGTGGGTTTCACCATCTCTCAGAAGCAGCTAATGAGCAAGTCTGGAGTTCAACATAGACACATTAAAAAAAACGAGAGCTGCCAAATTCTTAGTGGGAAGATAATGTTTCTTCTCCTCAAATAAGAACTCCACCAAGGAGCTAAGATGAAAAAGCACTGGAACTTTGTTTGTGCTGTTTTTATTTAAAACTGTGAGAGTTAAGCATTTCCATTTACAGGAATGATTAGATTTTCGTGTCTTTAATATCCCTCTGGATATTTTAATGTCTTTCTTTAGTTGACACTGAAGGTAGCGAAGGTTGTGGAATCTGAGCACCCAAGTACAAGATGAAGCTCGTGAACACCAAATTCCAGATGGGACAGTAATAATCACAGAATCATAGAATCACTAAGGCTGGAAAAGATCTTTAAGATCAAGTCTGACCACCAACCCAGCACCGCCACTACATTCACCGTTAAACCATGCCCTAATAAAGGCTTAGAGAACAAAACAGGGAAAGAGACTAAAAATATTGCAAACCTTATGTGTTCATTCCCTTCACATGGAGTGAGTAATAGCAAGGACTCTGCACAGGTGCTTCATCAGTTACCATCCACAGCAGCTGGTCAAAAAAGTGTTAAAAGCATCTGGTCAGAGATTCACAGGTTACCTCCTGAGCTTCTCTGCAGTTTCGGAGGATCATTCTGTAAAGCTTTTGTTGCAGACTTGCATGTAATTCCTTCATTTCTACAAGGGACTTGTGGTTCATTTTCCTGTGCCTGGCGCTGTGCTAAGCAAAGTTGTGGAGATGATGCTTTGCTCTGGGAGGAGAGTGCCACATAGTCAGGCTCACAAGTGTCCTCTAGGAGGTAGCAGCCCACTAATCCCTTGATTTTGGCTTCATCTGTGGAAAAAAAACATTACTAGCAAGGTCTGCTCTGAAGGGTTTGCATCCAGGTTCATGATGTCTACCTCGGTCAGTACGTGTTGACCCTGGCCATGGTTTGAGGCTGCCTCGCTTCCCATCTTACTTTTAAGATGTGTGATTCATGAAATTCATATTGGAAAAACACACCCAGCTCAGCGAGACTCCTCCTGATGGGAGAGAGTAAGTGAATCAAAGGGATGAAACTTGCTGTAAAACTGGCTGATAAGCCTGTAGATATTAAACTTTTTCCTTAGGGACTGTAGTGAATCAGCTTCTGTCTTCCAAAGGAAAACTTGGCTTCTTTTTTTGCCCTAATGTATTGGAAAGAGATGGAAAAAGCATGACTTTTTTCAGGTGTCTCTTTTAACCAAGCAAAACAAGCAGACATGACAGGAAAATCTTGGGGATTCTTCAAGTGCTGTGATGGCTGAGACTGGTCCATCAGCCTGGAGCTTGGTTTTAGATAGGAGCCAGCAAAAATACCCTGCATTATTGTCTGCAGTCTAAACCTTGTCATGTTCTCCATCTCACCTCCTGGTACTGCAGGGCTGGTTTTTCCTCATCTGCTGGTCTAAGCCCTGGGGTTTATCTGAGTAATATTGTTCAGTTACTCGTAGTGAACTCCAGCTATAAAAACATTGGCTTTAACAGGCACAGAACTGGATCTGCCCTGCCTGGTGCTGTGGCTATGTCATTTGTTTATCAACCAGAAAAATTTTCTGTCTTAATTTCCTTGTTTTCAGTGTTTTGGCTGTGAAATTGAGGTGCTTTCAGTCACTATAACAAAAACACTTGTGAGAGTGTGACAGGATCAGTCCCTCTGCTAAATGTAGAACCTGCTGTGCTTTCAAAAATAGGAGCAAATTTTAGAGATTTCATGGATTAAATAAGTTGTATTAGCCTCAGCATTATTTTTCTTGCATTTTAAAAGAAACTTCTGTTCAAGTTTTGAGTCTTTTTCTCTTTGGTACTTTGAAGGAGTCAGGATGTTTCAGTCGTGCTGGAAGTGAATGCACTCAAGAAAAAAAATAAGACTTTTTTTTATGGTAAGGTGTTTTTAGAAGATTGCATGACCACTTCTAGGTGTTTCTGGATTTATATAGCAAGCAAGGCCCTTATTAAACTCTTGCTTTATTTTTCACATCTTATTCCAACAATTATTATGTGCATTAAGTGCACACTCAATCACACAGAACTTCAATTTATTTTCAGACTGGATAGACAAATTGTGGAGTCATAACTCCTAGAGTAAATGGTTGCTATTTGGAATCTGACTTTTGCACTTTACTTGATTTATAAAAAAATAATAATTGTGGAAATCAATGAAAAATGCTCTTTAACTAGAGCACTTGCAAGGTACCATGTTTAAGGTACCATCTTTATGCTTTATCTTATCTCTAGAATTCATGAAATAAATGAATATTTACTTGGTATATGATGGAATTTTACTGATTCCTCTGCTGCCTTTTTGCCTTCTTTGTGAGTTTATTGGCACAAATTCTTTAATATACCAGTTAGGTGGCAAATACTTTGGATTTCACTAATTGAATTGTTCTGGTTAGGATACATTTTGCCTTAGACACATGGGGGTTTTATGATTTTGCTGGTTTTTTTTTTTTTTCGTAAAACAGCCGTTGACAAAGATAGTATCTGTATGCCAGCTGATGACTTTTAAGAGATGAACAAAATAAATATGTGCGGGGTCAATAGAATAGATTCAATACAAAGAAAGATATGCCACCCGTCTTTTAAATGTGAAGGATTATCAATATTACATATACAGGCAAACCCCAAGGCAAATTTGAGGCAGACTTCCATATAGAAATGCTGTTGTGCAATTTAGATAAGTAATTCCTCTGCAGAGTGACCTCTCTTAAAGAACCTTGTATTTTGAAATCTTACAGCAAGACATGACCATTCCCTAAGTTTATTTGCCTTAACTGAGTACAGATGACAGCTCAGAGGAATAAATAACACCAACATTAATGACATTATGCACAAGTGCCACTCGGAGCCAGTGATCCAGATCAGCTGATGGAAAAATTTCTTTTCTAGTAATCTTTCATGTTTACCTATTTTCCTGTCTATTCAGTGAGTTTCTCCCAGAAAGAATGTTGTCAGATTGTCTGACATTATTTAGGTTTTGATCCATTTTTTCATCTAGAAATCATGACAATTCATTGTTCTCCTTTACTTGTCTCATTTTCTTATCTAATTGGACTGATAACTGCTGTGTAATTTCAATTTAATTGCATTGTAACTGCTAATTTTCGTAAACATCATAGCTGCTGTGAGAGGATCAGTGATCTTCCTCAGAACAGAATGGGCCTGCTATGGAGAGGTCTTTAGCTGTTCCTGGGACTCCTTGAGCTCCCTCTGGAGCTTCTCCCGGGACATTTTTGAGGGGGAAAGGAAAGGGAACAAAACCAAAATAAAAAAAATATATATCCCAATTAGTGACCCAATATCTAACAACTAAAAGAGTTAGCAAAGAAAATAGCTCACTACTCTCCTGGGACAACCGAGAGTCGCTCCGGAACGATTGCCGGCAACCTCCGTCTCCCAAGGTCGGCAAGGCCTAACCAGGCCTCGCTCCCCAACACGGCAGACCCGACAGCAGGGAACCTGCACCTCCAAGCCGCCAGAAGGAAAGAGAGCGAAGGCCTCTCCTCCTTTCTTCTTATAATCTGGCTTACGTAAAAATCGTAGGGAATACTGGGTAAATCTGGACCCTTCCTTGGTTACAAACTGGTCACCAAGGAAGGCCTAGCCCAAACCACCACACCTTGCCCCATTGTTCCATGATACTGGTGCTGGGACAGGATTGTGGGATAACTGTATCCATCATTCTGTGCTGGCCATGACACCAGAGCTGGTATGCAGATGCAGAAAAAGCTGCCTTCTGCAAAATGGTTTAATAAAAAGAAGAGTTCATTGTCTGTGTAGTCTGAAGAGCTGAATGAAGTATTCTGGTGCTTCTGAGGATTAATGGTTCCTTGCTTTCCTTATCTGTCCCTCTCCCATAGATATGTTCTGGCCCTTTACCTCTGAGCTGGAAGCTCCACACAACATGTATAAAGAAACTTACACTATGGAATTGGAATTACAGCTGTAATAACAAATCAAGAGTTTCTACCTGGGAGGAAAAAGAAAGTTGGCACTTTGCCTCCTTTCACACTTACATTCCTTTCAGTCCCCAAACAAGTGTAATATTGATGTGAATGGAACTGCTTGGGGTGATGTAGTTTCTGTCTGCATTTTTCTGGGTTCCCTTCAGACTAGTGCAGGGCTAAGAGAGATTGCATGATCAGTATGAAAAAGCAGTGGTCTCCTGCAACACTGGCTGCTGTGTTCTGGCCTACTCCATCTGAGGAAGGGAACTGCTGTCTTGTAAAAAATATTTTGAATTTTACACTGTTGATTTGAAAATACTGATTTTAGGTCTCATCATTTCCATCTGAGGTCTGAGCAAAAACTGGGAAAGAGTCATTTATTGCTTCATTCCCAGGACATGAACATTAGAGGCTTGATTTTATTTTATTTTTTTTTTTTTTAATAGTGCTTGGGTGAATGAGGCAACCTAGACATCTGCATAAGGGTGATTTAGCTTGGAAGTAAAATATCACACATGCTATTCGCTTTGTTTCAGTTTCAAGCTGAACAGCTATTACTCACAAACTGTTAGTCCATGGAAGCTAAACAATACTAAAAACATTCTAGCTTTTCTTCACACAAAAAGGGCTTTGTATATGAAACATATCTGTTGTATTTCCCCACCTGTGTTTCCCTGTGGAGCAAGGTGAAGACTGGCAGAAATCTGACCCTAGAAGCTGCTCTGGAACAGCAGAACATTTGCCTGTTTTGTTTTTGAGGGGGTGTCTCAAGTGAGATTCTAGTGATGATTAAATGATTAGGTAAGATGCTTGCAAATGTAAAAGATTTGTTCTACAGAGAAAGTAAACTGTGTTGAACTGGGATTAATTAGCTCAATTGAGTTGCAAAGTTTAACAGAGGAGTCTAACAAAGTCTAACAAAGCTTCAGGAACTGAGGGAGAGACTCAGTGTCCAACCACCGTGCACTTTGTGACATGAAGTTTGCTTACAAACGCTCGTGCTTTGAGGTAGGTTAATTTTCAAAATCAAATGTGGAACATTTGGTTTCCAGCTAGCTGATTTTTTTTCTTTCAAGGAAAAACATATTTGGGAAAAAAATCCAACCTTGCAGATATTGACTGGAAGAGGAGAACTAAGCTGAGTTGACAGTGTTTGTTATTTCTCTTTTCTTCCCCTAGATGAAGTGGTTCATGTCTCAGCCCCTGAGAAGTTCACCTTCGAGGAAGCCAAGGAGCTTTGCAAGGAAAGAGGGGGTGTTCTGGCCTCTGTGGGGAACCTGTACGTGGCCTGGAGGAATGGTTTTGACCAGTGTGACTACGGGTGGCTGGCGGATGGCAGTGTACGCTACCCGGCCTCCGTGGCACGGCCCCAGTGCGGAGGAGGGTTGCTTGGGGTGAGAACCCTGTATCGCTATGAGAACCAGACAGGCTTCCCTTACCCACATAGCAAGTTTGATGCCTACTGCTATGAACGTAAGCAGGTTTTTTTCAGTCATTATTTTTGTTGTGCTTACCCTGTTTTCTTTAAATATTTGTTTTATTTTGGTTCTTGCTGTGCACATGTGTTTTTTTAAAAGAATTGGTTTTATCACTACTGCTTTACCAAAAAGAGAAAAGCCAAACTAAAGCAAACGTCATAAAGTAATGCTGGCAGATGAAGACAGGCAAGGTTTTAAGGTAAGATGTCAGCCTGAGCAGTATTTTCACATGCCCATAGTCACCCTGAGTCTGTGGATGCTCCATTTTTTGATGTCTGAGTGCAACCTGGTATACTTGTGTCATGTCAGTGGACACAAGACATATCAGACATTCAAAACCCCACCTGGACATGTTCCTATGTCACCTTCTGCAAGTGACCCTGCCTTGGCAGGGAGGTTGGACTGGATAATCTCCAGAGGTCCCTTCCAACCCCAGCTATTCTCTGATTCTGTGATAAAAACAGAAATGTCCTACTTGACCAGGTGAATGACTGTCATCTAACTTGGTATTCTGCCTCCAGGAATGGCAGTAGGAGAGGCTGTTAACAGGCTGTGTACAAACCTGGTCCCTTTCAGGTCTCTGAGATGCCTCTGATTTTGGGGCTATCTCTGGATCCCAGACACTTTATCCCGTCATAATATTTCTCTTACTTGCTCAGTCCCCGTGAATTGTCTAAATTGCCTTTCTTAGTGCTGCTTGTTTCCCTCCTGG